AGGAGAGGCTGAGTTTGCTTTCTGTCTCTGTCCTACCCCAGTACCTCTGCCACCCCCCTACCGCCTCCGGGAAGTGCAGGTCACCATCCTCAACAACAGCAGGTGCAGGGAGCTGTTCGAGTTGCCCTTTCAGCGCAGCTCCATCAGTTTCGACATGCTTTGTGCTGGTGCTGAGAATGGCAGCAGGGATACCTGCCACGTGAGTGCCCACCCCATGAGGAAATCATACCCACCCTGCCCCAGGCCTGAGAGCAGGCTCCGAGCCCCCACCAGCCCACACCTGGAGTAAAGCAACGGCAGTCCTTATTCACCAGCCTACAAAACATACTGCTCATTCTCCACTGGTGGTGCCTCCTCCCACACCCAGTCAGCCCCTGGTGGGGGCTTCACTTCATAGATGCAGACACTGAGGCTCTGTCTCTGCTGGGGAGCAGGGAATAGGATTCACACCTCTCTTGCCAGCTGCACAGCCACCCTGCTCCCCCAGCCTCTCTACAGGCTCCACTCACCTGCCCTGGCTGGCTCACCCAGGCTTCTCCCCAGGGTGACTCAGGAGGACCCTTAGTCTGCGACCTGGAAGGGCTGTGAGCTGGGGAGTGGGCTGTGGTCGACCCAACCGTCCTGGAGTCTACACCAGTGTCAGTTGGTGCTTCAGGTGTGTCTGTCACTTATGTCCCACAGTGCATCCAGGCCAGATGCCTCTCTGCTGCCACTGTTCCTCTCTACACTCAGGTCTCTGCAACTCCTGGAGTTGGCTGAGTCCACTTGACCTGTGTGAGCACCACAGTGCTTATACAGTCACTTGGGCTGTGGACTCTCAGGGTAAGGTGGGGACAGCCTGCTGGACCAGGCTTCAGACCCATTTGCTAATAAACACAAGTGCATGCCTGAATTCGTGCTCTGCAGAACTTTCTCTGGACCCAGAGGCTTCCTGATCAACTGTCTGGGTTCCCCCATGACCAGTCCAGCCCAAGACCTGTCTCTAACTCCTAACCCTTATCCAGGATTTGGAGAGAGCTGAACCCTCACCAGCTAGTTCAATCAGAAAGACGACTTGTGGAAAGGCCCAAGGTGTCTGGGGCAGGGCGACTGCAGTAGGCGCAGGGAGCAAACATTCCCGACCGAGGACCCCTATCTCAGAGTGCCCCATTACCCAAGTGTCAGATGCTCTCGCCCATGATCCCCCAATGGCCAACCTAAGACCAGGACTTGGTGCAGATAGTTTATTTGGGATGTGACCTCAGGAAGCACAGGTGAGGAAGTGGGGAAACTGAGGCAGGGAAGCATAGAGCTTGTACAAAACGGCAGTTCCCTTTGTGCGTAAGCTCAGCACTGGCCCACGGAGGACAAGGACAGCAGGGCTGGCATTCCTCCTGACCCCCAAGGCACAGCGTGGTCCCGAGGGCATGAGGTTCTCCAGCACAGGAGCTGACTCCAGCTGAGGCTGTCAGTCAGAGCTTCACCTTCTGTGGCGGAAAGTGGTGGGGGTGGGAAAGTGGGAAGGCACCCCCCCGTCTGCACCCCACAGGCCCTCCTCGCATGGCCAAGGGACCAGTCCACCAGGGCAGCCTTGGTGAGGGGTCTCTAGCTTATTCAAGCAGAGTGGGTTTCTACCATGCGACCAGCGCACTGGTTTCATCAAAGAGGTTCGTGGCATAAAAGTTAGCTAGTGAGATCAAAATAAACACACAGACTCAATTACCTTTTTCTATGACCAGGTCCAAGATGGCTCTCACCTCTCTAGCTCACACCCCAAACCACCCGGTAGGGTAGCAAGGCTTTCTCAGGGCTAGCAGGAGAGAGAGAGGCAGAGCACGCCAGGGAGTGGCTTTTTATTGGGGAACAAGAAATTCAGGGGAAAATTCCATCCAATGAAGGTCGAGGGGTACAGCATTCCAAGGTCAGGGTCAGTGATTGGCCTCAGGGTCAGTGGTCAGTCACACCCCCACACGGACAGGCTCTCGCACCAGGAGAGGGTGGGGAAAGCTCCCACACAGTTTAGCCAGAGCGCCTCACACCCAATGTGGGAGGTGCCCAATCACGTGCAAGAATGGCACCCCACAGTGAGTCTTGCAAGATCCACAAATGCTGTGAGCACAGAAGATGGATATACTCTGGCCAGCTTCCTCCCTCCTGGTGCCACCCCCAGCCCCACTTCCTGGAAAATGTACCTCTGACGCACATGTTCCTGTCACCTGTGAGCCTAGGAGGAAGGTTGGAGAGGGCTTCTGGGCAGGGGTCCACTACCTTGCTGTCTTCCTGCCTTATGGGTCTGCATCACTTAGTGGGCAGTTGAGCTGAGGTGGGTGGGTTGGCCAGTCCCCCTCAATTGCAGCAGGGAAGGTGCTTCATCCCTCTGAGTCCTGGAGTGTTATGCATGGGGCAGGCAGGGGAGTCCCTGTTTGGAGAGGAGGAAGATGCAGCAGGTAGGAAGTGCTGGGTGCAGATGGGAAGGCAGCTCCTGAGGTGTGATTGGAATCACGTGGCTGATTCCAGAGAGAGGAGGTAAGCCAGCGGCCCTGTCAGGTCTGGGGACTTCTGGGTGGCATCGGGAAGTGGACTAGAGAGAAAACTGGCCACAGAGGGAACCAGTCAGAAGTAAAAGGCGGATCACAGACCCAACTGACCCTGCGGTATTGGGAGGAGCCTGACACCACATGCTGCTGAGACGTCTGGAAGGGTGGGGCCTGGAGAAGGAGAATCCAGGGGCCTTTCCTGAGCCTGAGCCTGAGCCTGGCCACAGCTCAATGGACTGTCCAGCAGGGCACAGGTGAACAGTGGCCCAAGGGAGCCCGTCAGAGAGGAAAGGCAGCTCCACAGCCTGGCACCCCACCCCCAGCGGAAGGGGTTGCCTCTTTTCAGCCCCCCCTGCCCCCCGCAGCTTGGCTAGGGCACCTCAACTCCAAGTACAGAGGCCAGCTCTGAGTTGAATGTTAGTGTCTCCTCAATTTGTGACTTCTGATGTGACATAAGGGGGTGCCCTTTGGAGGTGATCGGGTGCTGGTGAGGTCATGAGGGAGAGGCCCCAGGATGAGGCTAGGACTCTTATAAGAAGAGGTCCTGGCCTCAGAACACTCCTCCACCACCCTCCTCTTGGCCAGATGAGAACACAGGGAGACGGCAGCTGTCAACCAGCCAGGAAGCGGCCATCACCAAGAACCCAACCCCAGGAACCTTCACCTTAGACATCCAGCCTCCAAAAACAACTGGCTGGAGCCTGGCCGTCTAAGGTGTTCTTGTAAGGCTGCCTGAGCTCATTAAGACTCCACGTAGGCGCCAGCAGCCCCGCATCCCCATTTGAAATTTGAATATATTTTAATTTTTTTTTTTAAAAATTAATACCTGTACTAATGGGATTTTAGTTACATCAAAGATTAGGCAAAATGTGTGTCTGGAGGTCCAGTTAGTGTTGAGTTTTGCTGGGGAGCAAAATGCCCAGCAGGTAGCGGGGTGCCCTCGTGAACCTGACTGGTGCCGTCGCAGGGTCCCAGGGCCGCATCGTGGAATCGCCCCCCGCTCCCCGACTCCTCGAAGCCTTCCTGGGTAGGGGCCTCCTTCCCCAGCAGCAGCCACTCAAGGGAAGTCCACACACGAAGGCCAGCCTCTGCCCTCGCCCACGAGTTCCCATCCCCTTCCCAGCAGCCTCTTCTGGGAAGAGGCTGAGAAGCGATGGGCTGAGGGTGAATGGCGAAGCCAGTTCCCGGCTTGACCCCAGAAAGTTCAGTCTGTCCCAGGACCAGAGCTAGGGACCCAGGCTCCCGCCTTCAGGTGAGGCTGGGACTTTCTGTAGAGGACGAGCCTGACCCTTGGACTGAAGTTCTGACCTGCTGTGCTCGGAGGTGTCCCCCCAAGCCCCACACCAGGAGGGTAGGGAGGCCAGGCCTGTGTGATCTAATCCAACTGCTGACATACAAGGCCACCCAGCCCAGGGTCCACCTCCCTGGAAGGAGAAGGCTTCATTGTTCCCTTTCCTGGCAGAGTGCAAACTGGGAATAAATGCTCAGTAAATCCCCCTCTTGGGGAGCCCTGATCCCAAGGGACAAAGGGCTGTGTTGAGCATCTGTGAGAATAGACTCAGGGCCAGCACTCGGGCCTAGGTGGCTGGAGGGTTCAGGGGGGGGTTGATTCAGAATGGTGACCTCCCACCTGTGCACGCAAGGAGCTGACACATGTGCCTCCTCCTGTGTATAACAGCAAGTGCGTACGCGTGTGTTCCTGTACTGCCCAGCGTGGGTGTGCACGTGCCTACTCTGTGTACATGTGGCTTGTGGGTGCTGTTGGGCATGTCCTCCCTCCGGCCAGGATGCCAACTGCCTCTTCCAATTCCCCACTTCCCTGGGTGGTGCTTCCTAGAGTCCTGGCCCAGACAGACCTTCTCCTGGTGCCAAACCCTTCTAGAAGGCATTGGAAGAGGCAGCAAACCTGCAAAAGTGCCTTCAGGCTGGGCTGGGACAGAACACAAGCCGCCTTTGTGTGGTTTCTCGGCCCCTATCTCCAAGAGCTCTGCCGCCGCCAAGGGCTCTGGCTCCTCCACCTCCTGAAGGCCCCCCCCACCCCCACCCCCCGGCCTTGGCAGGGGCCACTACCCTCCCCGACCCAGCCTATCCTGCATCTGCACGCCAGAGGGTCACCGGGAGGACAGGTAGGAGGATTAGGATCAGAGGGGACCTGAATCAAGGGCTCCAAAGGCTGGTTGGCACAGTCACCTTTATTCCACCTATTTAGTCCCAACTGTGACGGCTGTGTTTGTTCCAGGGTGCGGCATGGGTGTCCACTAGGGGTGGGCAGACAGTGTGTGAAGGGCCAGATAGTGCAGTCCTGGGCTTTGTGGGCTGAGGGTCCCTGCCGTAAGCCCTCTGAGCTACCTGGGCGGCCGGTGAGGGACAGGGCCCAGCTTCCTGCCCTGATGCTTCCTCTGTGGACAGTGGCGTGGGCTTGCACAACATGTTCATGTGCCACAAAATACTGCTGTTTTGAATTTTTTTTAACTTTTAGATGTTACTGAACCTTTATTTTATTCACTTATTTATATGTGGAGCTGAGAATCCAACCCAGTGCCCCACACATGCTAGGCAAGCGCTCTACCACTGAGCCACAGCCCCAGCCCTCTCTTTTGAATTTTTCTGATGGTTTTAACATGTGAAAAGCATTCTTAGCTCAAAAACAGATGGTGGGCCATGGTTTGCTCACCCCTGGCATAGGTAGTACCTGGCCCAGGTGAGTCCTGGAAGTCCTGGGGAACCCCTCCCCTGTCCTGCAGCCCCTCCCCTGCTGCTATTTCATGAGACCAGGGTCCCCATTCTCAGGAGTTTGTGCACATCCCTCCCCACCCTTTCTTTTATAAGCACACAGAGGTATCTAGACACCCCCACACACAAGCAGGGTTGTCTTGGGTGAAAGACTCGGTGGTGGGGACATGGCCCTCCTCCCACACCTTTGCAGGGTTCGCTGTGGTGGATACCGCTGCCTGTACTCTGTCATTGCTGGCCACTGGGGTCTGTTTGTAACCTGTTGTACCTTCCAGGGAATCAG